CCCCGGGGAAGAACAGGTCATAGTTGAATGGCAGAACCATGCTTTCCTTGCAAAAGTTTCCAGTTCAGTCCCTGCCATCTCCAAGTAGGGCTGAGAAAGACTCCTGCCTGGAATCGTTTGAGAGCTGTGGCCTATCATGGCACAAACAAGACTGAGCTAGATTTGGGCCAACAGTGCAAAGTCGCAAGCTATGTCCCAACATAATCAGACAACCCCAAGCCCAGCAAAGAAGCCTGTTTGGGCTCTGGCGGAAAGTAAATGGAGTTACTCTTAAGCCACTGCTGTGGATGAAAATGTCACTACCAAGGGCACCTCTGATGCTGCATCCACAGGAACATGGTGTCAAGAATGTGGTCCAGAGAGCCTTGCTCCAGAGGGTTTTCTCAGGGTGAAGATAACAGAATGCGAAGATACACTCTTTCCCAATTCTATTCTAAACCAGCTTTCTATTTGGTGTTTCTCCACCTTGCCAGGTAGAGAGGGATGGGGGAGGGGTGCCTGTCCATCCATCTGCATGCACAGGCATGCAAAGAAAGGCACAGGTTTTATATTGCATAAAGCTGTTTCATATTGCAGCTTTTCTGAGTTGCAATCTTTTCTTTCTTCTCTTTTTTTCCCTTTTTTTATGGTCCTGACCTTGTACAAAAGAGATCCCACATATCCCGAATCTTAGTTTTCTGTGCCCTTTTGACTACACAGTGTAGTCAAAAGTAACAATCAAGGTTAAGCAATCCATACAGTAAATTACATCCTGCAGTGTTTTCGACAGCTTGGTTAAAGGAAGAGTTCTTTCAAGGGAAGGTTACAGGAAAGACAGAACTTCTCCTTTTAAATAAACAAACAAGTTCTCTTATCAATAAAACCTTTCTAATCCAGCTTTTTCTAGACAGATGCTGCTTGCCTGTTTAATATAACTCTCTGTTTTATAACCCTCTCAGTGTTTTGGACATATCTGTATTATGGACAAATGCATACCTGCCAACACTGGAAGTTCTAACATGGAAAGATTTAAGCTCCTCCCTGAGGCGCAATCTACTGAAAAATCCTCCTGCCCAAGCTCCACAATTCTACCTTTTATTTAGAACATTTTTAACTCACCCCCAGAGCAGCTTACAAAAATTAATAAAGACAGTTCCTGCCCTCAGGTCTACAGTCTAAAGGACACCACACAAAAGAAGGAGAGGAGGAAAAAAAAAAGAAACAGACAGACTTGTTGGTCACTAAGTTCCAGCCACGCATTTCAGTGTATGTTGCACTGAAGGACTTCCCAGTGGCTTGTGTCCTGAGCCAGTATCCTACTTTTTATATGTTCATTTAGTCAAGATTCTTTAAGTTGCACTGAAAGGGGAAAATACAGAGATATTCTAAGATTATTTAGTGGTAAGATGGAGTATCTTTATTTGCTGTTCTGCTTGGTTCCTATTTACTTGCTACACGTATAGGCTTTCTGCCACTCCACTGAAGTCAGTCTGGTATGTAAATAATGACATAGGAAAGACGTTAGGAAGAAAGATGTAATAAGCAAATTCAGGTACCATCATAGCCACTGCCTGAGATGGTTCAGTGAGGGGAAAAGCAAAAGGACAGTTGGCCTCAGCCAGATGGATGGATGGAACAGGGCTTCCCATCTCACCTTTCCCTCAGGCTGCCAGGTGGAACACCCACAAATGGAGACATTTTGCAGAAAGGAGGAGCCAAGCAGCAACTGGTCCTAACTAGGGCCAATATTTAGTTTACACTGTTTTATGGTAACACTAGTAGCCTGCAGACACATTGAATTATAACTCCCATACTTTCCAACAGAGAGGCAGTCCCTATTCCATTGTAGGATTCATCTTGAAGAGTTTTTTCAGAGTTAGGCTAGGCATTAAAAAAAAAAAACCTTAGAAAATGCTTAAATATAAAGTAAAGGACCTAAACACATGGAATTACATAAAGGAATAAGATATATACTCTGCATCACCTTGAGACTTTCTGTCTTTCTTTAAATCAGCTAATGTTGGATGTTCTCCAGTCTTCTTTGACTCTGGTTTACACCAATGGCCTGAAGAACAAGTTCTTTTTTTTTAATCATATATTATGTTTACTCTAGGCTCTCTCTCTCCCACCCCCTTCCCTTTTCCTACAGCTTAGTGCAACATTAACTTCAGCAGTGCATCTACTCAAAAACATACAAACCCAGGCTCATTCAGCAAAATATTGAGCAATGTGCTTTCTCCTCCCAGAAGTCTCCAGAACCCACCCACCCACACTCCAGTTTTTAGCCCCATCTCTCCCCTTCACCCAACATGTGCACCACTGTGGAGCAAATCAGAGGAAGGCCAGCCACCCTCCCTGCATGGGTGTTCCTTCATGATCCTTGTTTGACTGGGCCAGCCACAAGAAAAGGATGTTGACTCTTCTTGCTCACTTGAGGCAGAATAAACTATGCAAAATGGCAAACACTGCACAAATGATTGGTCTTAATAAACCAATGAGATGCTACACAGATTGCCATTACAAACACTGCTTAGCAAGCTAAGCAGGAGCTCTTCCTCCTACCAACAGGTCATCAGCAAGGGACCAGCAGCACCTTTGGAGGGGGAGAGGGAACTGATATAAACAAACCTTGCAAACAAAAAACCCCTTCTTTTAAACTCTGAGGTTTTAAAGGATTGTCATAATATCTTAAAAAACAGTTTTCATTGTAATCCAAGAGATCACCCTTACTTCAGCTTATGTGCTGGTCCTTCATTTACCAGTGAAGGCTCCTCCTTCACCCAGGATTAAACAGCTCTATGCTAATAACATTGGGTGAATAACCAATAATCTGCTTCAGGTAAACATCTGTCCACAAGTAACATGAAAATCACATGAGAGATTAAATGTGACTGGAAATCCACTTTCCTGATATTAAAATTGACAGTATTGCATAGTTTAAACCACATCAAGTTCATCCAAGAGACAGGAGCTCAGACAATTACGAGTAGTACATAGTTCATCAAGTATTCTATATATTGTCTTTGACAAGCATGAGATCTAGAAACATTTCTTTAAGTTAAAGCTGAAATTATCTTGTCTCTTGGGTGCATAATGTTCCTTACAACATTATTGCAACTAGTAGTTTTCCTGAACTCATTTCTAGCCTGTTAATTTCATTAATTTCTTCGATGTAGTGATCCCTGCCTTCCACCATCTCTTCCTTTGTATCATTTCTTCTAGATTTTAAGCCATTTTGCAGGGACTTGCCCATTATCTGTGCAGTGCTTAGTAGCTAAATAAAGTCACAGTTGTGGCTAACAACCATGAACAGACCTAATCTCAAAAAGGCATCCCTGCTCCTCTCCACCACCCCAAAATAAATAAATCTATGGGTGCCGGTGAACCTACAATATTGACAATGACTTTATTACTCTATTTTGCTATGACGTAAGAGAGAAAAGGTGGCCCGACTGCCTTTCTTCAATGAGCAGGACCTATTTGTTTTGTAATTTTAGGTACCTCTTCTGCAGAGCACCTCCCTTCACTTGTGACATATCGCCAGAATCACAGGTGATATTAGGGCTTGTAGATTGAAGTTCTCTTCCTCAGGCAATAGATTGGGCTAATGTCATTTTTGGTCCCTTTGTAGCCTTCAATTTTATGCAATGCACACTCGGACCTTGCATCACTGGGTGTGTCACATTACATATGTCCCTGCTGTGAAGAATCCAAGGGCTGGTTTTAAAGGCAGGTTTTGTTATGCTTTTATCACCAAGAAAAAAATGTGGCACTCAAAATGGTTGCTCGGAAGGCTAGAACAAATTTCCAAAACTGCTTTTAAGGCCATATATAGGACATTTCCTGCCTGAGTATTAGATGGGTTCCCCAACATTCGAAGTTTAACACAGCAATAAATTTGCAGGTAGCTGCATTCACATGTTGTGCTAGCATACAAACCTTTCTAGGGAAGCTTGAAAAATTTGATCTTCGCAAGTTCCTATTAAAATGAACTCTTGGATTAATCTGCAGATCAGAAATTAACCATATATACACTTAAATAGGTCTTTTGAGGTGCATTTAAAAAGCCAACACCAGAAATGACCGTCAAAATGTAATAAACTGAATTATGGGCAAATATGTGCAAAAGTGAAATAGAACAGAAATAATAAATATTTCTCTGTCCCTGGCAGGCTGAAAGATTCAGCTAGACTGGTAGTATGTATTGTAATTTAGCTCAGGAGCCACCACAAGAAGTTTCAACTGGTATCTAACATCAATAGCAACAAATAATAATAATAAAAATAAAGGCTGAATTTTCAACTCAGAAAATATGCCTGAGATCAGCTAATCATTTGTGCATTTTGCCTAAAAGCCACTTTAATAGGGGGCGTGGAGGGTCAGAGGCCAAGACCTTGTTCTCCCAAATGGCCTTTTGCAGAATCCGGTTGCCACAGATACTCTTCAGCTGCACTCATCTTTTGCTTCTGTGCTTAGCAATTAAAAAGCCAGCCATCAATGGATGGCAAATTATCAGCTGTTGATTATATGTTGATATCTGCTCTATTTCCATCTTTATTTTGCCTTATCCTAGGGCAGTATATAAAAAAGGTCATACTTATAAGCAACCAAAGCTTGCAAAAGCACAGAAAGCAAAGCAAAAACCCTAATGGGGACTCAACATTGCTATTTCCTGAAACCTACCTACTATATTTTTCTTGACAAGAGAGATGGATATTTGGATTTCCTGTGCCAGACACCACACTCTCTTGGGCTGGTCCTGGTCATTATTTGAGGAACCTCAACCTGGCTCCAAGCCTGGGCGGGGAAGATACCATGCATGTCAGCCTGAGCTCCAGGAGGAGGGGACAGTATACAAAAAATGGAATTAACAGGAGGCTTAGCAAGATACATGGGCACAACCGTATCAATCAGATGTAGGTAACCGTTTTTCTGCTGAGGACCATATTCCCTCAAGGCTTATCAGCATGGGAGTAGTGGCCAGGGTCTCAGACAAATACGAGTAGGTCAAGTCTTCTCACCTTCTGCCTCCTCCTTTTCTCTTCCTCCCACTTTCTTCCCATGCAACAGGCTGCCAGGGAAGGAACAAATCACTCTTGCCAGGTCTCTGAATCGATCGCATGCAGAGGGCTTTTGAAATGATGCTGAAGGCAACATGGAAATAAGCCAAGGGAAGAACGAAGATTCTGCGCTTTCACAACAGATATGGTAGCACGTTTCCAATGTCTTCTTGACAGTCTTACGATCTGGGAACTTTCCTTGCAGGTGTATATGTTCCCACAAAGCCATACTTCATCTGGTCCAGGACAAAGTAGGTCACAAATAGCATCAGATGGCATCAAGCATGTCACAATCCCTCAGTCTAACCTACCTGAATGGGATGTTGTGAAATCATAAGAGGTAAGTATATTTTTCACCTCTGAGCTTGTAAGGAGAAAGAACAGGATAAAAAACATGATACATGATACAAAAACGATTCAATGCTCCATTGCTTGAGCTACAGGAGTAACCACATGCTATGTCTTCATTATTCCTGAACTGAGACATCAGTGAGAACAGCCATTTGCAAGGCCATGAGTGAATAAAGCTGAACGAAGTCAATAGTTTACAAGATTGAAAGTGGGCCTGAGAAAGGCATCCATTCCCAGAAAGAGCACACACACTTCTTTTGCTCTTCAGTCACCTATGAACGAGCTATTCTTGGAAAGCTGCAACTAGCGCAAAATATAGCAGCCGGGATGCTAACCAGTTCCTAGCACTGGGACCATATTACAGCTGTTTTGAAAGATCTGCAATGGCTGCCAATTGCTTTCCACAAATAAAAATGTTGGTTTTAACCTTTAAACCTCCAAGGGTGGCAATCCTATGCCTCCTGAGGCAAAAAAAATCCTATGACCATGGCGACCAAACAACAGTGCAGTAAAGGTCCTCTCGAGGACACCAGTACCCACAGAGGGCAAAAGGGCTTTCTCCCGTGTCACTCCCAAACTATGGAATGTGCTCCCTGGAGAACATCATTTGGCCTTACTCTCTAGGCTCCTACAAAGGATACAAAGATGCCCCTTTCCAATTTAGCCATTTAAAATGCTGGTTTATTTTGGGTATTGCTTTAATACCCTTCTATTTACATCTTTAAGGCTTTATTGTTTTAAATGGATGGACATTATTTTGATATCTTTTTTGCAGGTAAGTGTTACGTATGAATAAATAAGCAAACAAATTTCTGCAAGATTTATTTACCAGCCTCATACATGTGCCCACACCATGAGCGGTAACACCTTTTGCATGCTGACCTCAGCTCTCTGATATAAGAGAGATAAGATAACATCCAGCCACATGTCAGATTGGCACTGAATTCTGTGGGCTAGTCTGCAGCACCATGGCGACCAAACACCACCGACCACGCTGGCAATGTCTCCTAACCACATTCTTCATAGGGTAAGCCTGTACTTAGCCTCTATAAGAATATATTAAAAAAAACCTTTTGCTTTTTCATCAAAACTCAACAGAGCACTATGACTTAATGCAAGTGCAGTTATTTTCCAGATATACTTGGCATCCAGATTTTAAAGTTGTCCGAGAATAAGGAATCCTCCTGATAAAGACATGTGGGTTGGTGGGAAGTATGGAGAGGGTTATGTGGTTGTGTGTTCAAGATATAGGGCCTGCCGAATGAGCTTGTGGCCCTCCAAATGTGGGAATCCATCATTATTCCTATGCTGGCTAGGGTTGATGGATGTAGGCTAAAAAATCCAGAGGGCCAGAAGTTGCCCACCCTGGTGCAGAGACTCCATCTCTTGAACTTCTAGACAACATCTGTTTTAATTATAAAAATGTGCTTTAAAAAATCAAAGTTCTCATTAATTTTAATCAGGCATCAAATGTCTGAACCTACCTATAAAGGACTGACGTATCATCGCCACCTCCAAACATGCACAAGTTTGGAGATGCTTTCTAAGCTGAAGAACAGGCTGCGAGTAGTGTTTAAATCTCACACTTGCTTACAGGGAGAATGAATATACAGGTCACATTTTTAAGTGTGGCAGGCTGTCTGGGCAAACCTTCACTGCCTTGAATTCCTCTGGCCTGGAGCAAATTCTGCAGACAGTAGGAAAGGAAAAATAATGGTTCTGCAAGCTCCTGGCATTCCCAGCTTAAAATGGAGAATGGTTGGCTGTGGAGGACCATGATGAGGATAGGAACAACAACTCCTCTGTTTTATATTAATGCACCCTTCCCCAACCTGGTACCTTTCAGATGAGTTGGGACTACAACCTTGGTCATGCTGGCTGAGAATTGTCAGAAATGTAGCCGAACCCATATGGAAGGCACCAGATTGGGGAAGGCTGAGAGAGCTTCAGAGAAGGCACTGTACTTCACGTGCATTATTTTGCCTTCCTGACAGCAACCCTGTAAAGCTCAAGGAATACTGGTCACCCCATATTTACAGCTGGGAGAGAGTGGCGTGCTAAAAACCCTCTGAGTTACTTATGCACTAGAATCCTTCTAACATTGCTGAGGTGCTGTCTTTTTGACACTGACAGAAAATGGAATTAGAACAGAGCTTCCATACAAGCAGTTAAAATAACACCACGTTTTCCAGCAACGTCCTTCTGCCATTGTGAAGATCCTCCTATAAGACTCACCTACAAGCAGGTCCCCTTCAGCAATGGTTCACTATCTTTCTTGTTCATCCCATTTTAGTACTTCCAGATGAGTGCTGGGTACAGAATAAGTGATAAATAGCTTATTCACTGCCCCTTAAATAGACACTCTTAATTGCTCTAATGTTAGTTTCTGATCCCGTTGGGTGTGGGAGGAGCATTCTTTACCATTTTACTCTCATCATTATGTTCCTTTTCATTTTTTGTACAGAATTAATGTTATTACTCTATTGAAAAACCTACTAAAGGAAACTAGTAATTAAAGTAATTTCCCCACCCTATGTGTAATCCCCACACGAGACCAGAAAGAAAATTTGGACAATTTAAGAGAGACTGTTCATGGGGCAATTGATAGGTTATTTATCATTCATCTTCCTTCCCCTACTCATCAGGAATAAGCAGAACTTGAAAACCAAAAAACAAAAACCTGACAGCACAGAAGCCCTTAAAAGCCTTGCCAATCTTTCCTAGTCAGCCTAGGGCTGAAACTGTATTTTCTTACCAAAAATATGGCCACAAATCACAAAGTTGCAGGGTGAGGGAATGGGATAATAACCCAGAAAACTCTGAAGCGCAATAGGCTAAAAATGTAGTTGTCTGGATGAACCATAAAAAATAATAAAGGATGGCAATTTCAGAGAAGAAGCAGAGTAAGGAAATAACCCCAATGAACTCACAAGAAAAGTTGAGCCAGGGACTTCCCAATCCGTGGGCCAGTGACTGTGCTTCTGCACCATGCCAGTGTACATCCCTCTACTGCTCCCCACACAGCCTTACCCCTGGCACAACTTTACAATTGTTCTTACAATCTCAGTGACTTTTTTTCCAAAAAAATGTTGGCCATAATGTGAACATACACTGAAGAAAAGCATATGGGATGCTTGGAAAAAAAATAGAAGGCATACAAACCAAGATACAACGGTATCTCCACTGAGTAATGAAGCTCACTGGGTAAACCTGGGTCAACCATGACCTCTAAAGCTAGCCTATCTTGTAAGGATAAAATGGGGCGAGTAGAACCATGAACCCTGCCTTGAGCTTCCTGTGGGAAATGTGAGAGAAACATTAAAAATAAGAATTTAACTAATAAGCCCCAAAAGCGGCAATGCACCAGGAGAGGAAAGACTCAGGGATGAGATGATTTGAGGTTTTCAGGATCTACTCTCTTCTGTTGTTGGTTTTGAATCCGGAGATCCAGCAACCAGAGCCAGGTGCAAAAGTCACACACTTATAATAATAATCAACATGAGGCTAAGGACTTATCTTGAATGCCATGAATGCCAGAACCAAACAGAACTCACAATCCTTCTACACAAAAATCCCCTCCTGGTCACACACACCATTCATTTCACCATATAACTTAGGCGTGGGGTCATTACCACAGTTAAACAATTGGGAATGAGAAATCCTTGCCAGTCTACATGAAATCACCCCAATCTACATCCCAATCTACATTCTGTCCATCCTGATGTACATTTGTCCAAACTGTTTGGACAAAAAGTGGAACAAGAACTAAACAATCGATCAATCTTAGGTTTAGATTAAGCTCTCCCAACAACAACAGAGAGTATTTCCACTCATAAGTTAGGAGTAACTGCAGACACTCGGCAAATTGTTATGCACAGAATTCCTTCTACTTCCAGAGGGACACAGTGTTTCCCTGCCCACCACCAACATTAGACAGTCAAAGGGAATCCAAGTTGATCCTCTCATACAAATAGAATAGACTACACAAAGTAAGAGGATAAAATGTAATACTTGCACAATCAAGACACAAACCAGGGACATCCAGGAAGCCTCACAACAAAGTCCACATTTATCCCATTCCACACAAGGCCACTTCTCCACTGTGCGGGCAGGTCCTCTCTTCTATATCTACATTCACATGAGCAATGCAACATACAGAACCAGCAGCTACTGTGACTTCTCATGATGCAAACAATAAGTTTTTGATCACTACAAATCAAAGAAGATTCTGTAACCAACTTTGATGAGCTATCAGCTTCTGCACTACACTGTTCATGCAAATGATGTGCATATGGGTATGCATAACCAATCCCCCCATGAGACCTGGCTCACAGGATGGATACAATGCATAAGCTGCTTAAATCAAACTTTTTTTCCACCTAGGCTGGTTTAGTCCCATTGGGTGGCATGGCAGTCTTTATCACAATGCAAGGAATTAATTTTTACTAAAATCAATGGATTTTATTTCTGTATAATACATTTAGAACTAGTGTTGCTTGCTGAAGCTTTCCACCCTAGGTGATTTGTAGACTGTGCACTGAAGTCATTACCATGCATCACTTCTAGTGTCCTACTGATCATCAAACAAACCTAGAATAGCTTTATTTGTAATATGGTCACACACATACAAAAGTCTATACACATCAAATGATTCCTTGCCTATTATACACAGCAGCTATTATCCAAATTCAGATCTACACGCCATATGGTAGTGATCATACAAATTAAATACACACCCAGAATAAGGCGGTACATACACTTCCACCAGTGCACCTGCTCACCAATGTATGCACAGACATATACAGGCATGGAGGCAAATCTCCCGCCTTATCACTGATGGTGCTGCCACCTTGGGACTGGTACTTGCGCACAGAACCAGCAAAAGGCCAGTCAGAGGAAATTCACTCAAAAGCACTCTGAGATGTGCAAGTCAAAAAATAAAAATACCAAACATTTTAAACATACGCAAGGAACTCACACAATCCACAAATGTGAAAACTCGGATGCATGAAGTGGCAAAGGTGAAAAATGGATGGACACACACACACACACACACACACACACACACACAGAGAGAGAGAGAGAGAGAGAGAGAGAGAGAGAGAGAGAGAGGAAGCAGCACCTTTATGTGAATCACAGTTTAATTGCTCCTGCTCCTCCTTATATAATTTAATTTAGGTGGGCTTTTCTGACAGGCCTTCATGTGTGATTGGAACCCACAGATACTGCCTTGCCCAGAGAGCCTTACTACTGATGAAGAAGTTTGCTTCCCATCTGTCTATTTCTACATACTCCAAATCAACCAATGAGAAAATGTCATCCAGGTTCAAAGAGAGGCAGGCAGGGAGGTCCAAGGAGATTAAGACAGCAAACACGACCTCGAGGGCCATCCATGCCCATCCCAGTACAGAAAAACACTATTAAAAATGCACAATCGGCCCTCACTCTTCAGTTTTTTGTCCATCTTCATCATTACAGTAACCACCACAACTTGCATATTCATTGCAGAACATTCAGTCCCAGATCTCAGATACAGAGGGAGGAAACTGAGGCAAAGAAAAGGAAAACGTGCGCTGCCCACCTTTTACCCAACAATATATGCATACAAGGTCATACAGTGAATCAACAAAAGAGAGAGGAGGGAGATTAAAGCACAAGTCTTGGCTCTTGATTCTAACCCCTCAACCTCCCCTTGCTGCTCCCCCTGTTCCCCCATCCCACCACCCCAGAGTTCCCAGTCACAAACAGGGATACAACCCAGATGCCTGGGCACTCTATATTCACACCCGACTATGCTTTTTCTGGCCAGGGAGAAAACTAATCCACACCCCAGCCTTCATACAAACAAACAAACAAACAAACCAGGGTATCCAGCATTTTCCAAACCTGACAAGCTTTCCAGGTTACCAGTGACAGCCCTGACGGAGGGGGAGGAGGAGGAAGAGGGGTGGGTGCAACCCCTCATTTGTTGCCACTCCCTTCCATCCTCCTGCAGGCTAAATGCCCCATTTTCCCATGCACAGACAGTATTCCTATCTCACTCTAGATGTGGGGAACAGGAAGGGCCAAGAGGGAAGAAGCCTCCTTTATGCCCCCCCATTACCTTCAGAACACGTGGATGCCATAGAAACCACATCCTGGGACCCCACCCTTCAGAACAGCCCGCTGGGGGTGGCTGCTCCGTCACCCTAGAAAGAGTCAGGAGAGGATTAAACACCAGGCCTTGCTCTGATCCTGGGGTGAACCCCTTGCCCCAAACCTGAACTGCCTCCAGATTCCAGATCCAGACCCTCTCACACTACCCCCTTGTGGATGCTTCTCCTCCTCACCCCAACTTATCGGGGTGCTGAGAGGAAGCTACAAAATTGGAACGGTCAGGGAGAGTCACTAAATGCTGTGATTTTTCACTGCCCGTTCATGTTCTGGTCTCTCCAGCTTATTTTTCCTTCCTCCATTGCCACCCCCGTCATTAGTCCCAACCCAAACTCGCCCTTGGGAACACTCCGGCCTTGGCAAGGGGGTCAGCAGTGTGGGGATGGATGGGGGTCACCAAGAGAGCCGAGGGCAAGATTAGCCCACCCACGAGAACTGTTTTTCTGCAGGGAAGTCAATCTTCTAGTCAACCAACCTCCCCAAATAAGCAGCTCAATCCTACCCCCCCATCTCAGCTGGGATATTCGGGGGGGGGAGACTACCCTTCCCCCCATTTTTACCTCTCCTCCCTCTCTAAGCCAAGGACATTTCCAGGATCCTGGGAAAGGGAAGCAGGAGGAGGCTTGTGAGGTGGGGGGAACGTAAGCTGGTTTATTTACCTTCTTGTTGCTCTTGTTGTAGCCAAAAGTGGCGATTCCTGCACGAGGAGGCACAGAAAGGAGCATTTTCGCTTTAATGTTAGAGAGCTTGGAAAGGGAGGGGGAAGAGAGAGGGGGGAGACAGAGAGAGAGGGAGGGAGACACACGCTCACACTCACACACTCACACTCACACATACACACAGAAGAGAGAGAGAGAGAGAGAGAAAGAGAGAGAGAGAGAGAGAGAGAAAGAGAGAGAGAGAGAGAGAGAGAAAGACAGGGCTTCTGGCTTACGTCACCAAGGCAAGCCAGCCTGGAATCCAGGGCTAGGGTGTCTGCTTGCCACAAGGTCCTAGTGCCTGCACTGGGCAAACTGGTCAGCTTCCCTCAAAGGGCTGGCAAATGAAAATCACAGAAATGAAAATGAGACCGTCAA